AAATCACAAGTACGATACGACAGTATGAATGAAGGTGTAAAATAAACTGCATTCCACCCCCACACCCCCAATCAAATTAGGGGATAAAAAAGGATGGATAATTATAAACGCACATTATAATAAGATATCGGGGCGCCCCGCCTCCGAGTCTTTTTATTAATCTTTTTATATGTTTCCGGATTCCTCAATAATCTAAAAAAAAGGGTTCACGTAAACACACACACACACACACACACACACACACACACACACACACAGATACACGCACACACACACACACACAGATACACGCACACACACAGATACACACACACACACAGATACACGCACACACAGGTTCGTGTATTTAATCACCCTGTACTTGTTCGTGTGTGCAGGCCGCGGCCACGAAAGCGGCGCGTGAGCAGGGAGACCTCTTTCTCCACCTCATCTGTCACAGCAACACCGCGCAAAGCGTGAGTCAATGCAACAACACATCGCTGCCTGTCATACCCCATGCCATGTTGACTGTGATTACGGCTCGCACCCATTCACTCTGCACATGTCCTCGCCCATCCTGCTTCTGCGTAGTGCCCCAGCGGCGTCCACGGCGTCAACACAGCAGGCCACCCCATCCCGCCCACCACAACAGCAACAACCACAACAACAGCAAGCACAACAGCCACAGCCACAACAGCGGCCACAGCAACAGCAAGTACAGAAGCAGCAGCGTCCTGCGAGTTCGGAAGGTCGGGGTGCCTTGTTGTCGTCCATTCGTCAGGTACGCCGCCTCCTAACTGTTGCATGTGCGCCGCGAGCTTCCATGACGTCTTGTTTGTTGCATGCGCTGAAAACTGCACCACTTGCGGCCAATCACCCACACTCACACACACACACACACACACACACACACACACACACACACACACACACACACACACACAATCACTCGCACGTAGGGCAAGTCGCTGAGAAAGGCCAAGACGAATGATAGGAGTGCTCCGCGCGTATAGGCGCAGAACATGCTTTGTGCACCTTGTTGGCACTTGTGTGCCGTGTTCTGCTGAGGTCAATGGTGTTGGTTTGGATAGGAAACAATGGGATACGTCATGTGTGAAACAGAATGGAACAACAAAACACACACGGTCTTGCCAACGCAATCATGATGACGACGAGCTTGCTTGCTTCTACATCGCCCGTCATGAAGAACGCAAGGCCAAGTTTGACCCAGACGCGGTGTTCCCTTCCCGCACGTCCCTGGAACACCACACAATACATAGCAGTGCTGGCCGCATGCATGTGTGTGCCTGTGTGCCCGTGTGCATGTGTGCCCGTGTGCATGCGTGTGTGGGTGTGCATGCGTGTGTGCCCGTGTACATGCGTGTGTGGGTGTGTGAGGTTGAAAAGGTAAACATGTCGAACAGAAGTGATGATGCGACACTGAGCGAGTCTTCATGTCAGCAGACCACAGTTGTTGTGCCTTGAAAGTCTTCCACCGTCAATACAACGGGGTTTTGTGCTGTCGCGTAAGAATTTCTGTCCACTTCTTCCAACAACCAACCGCTCGCTGCTTTTCCTCGTCTCATCCCAGCAGACCGAGCCAACACCAGCCAGCCACCACCCATGTCTGATCGACGTGGGCAGCAGCATGCTGCTGCGGAGATGGACATGTCTGGCATGATGAGCGACATGCTCTCGTTTATGGATGACGATGAAGGCGATGTGCGTAATATCGTGGACTTTGTGCGACGTGAAGTGACAAGTGTAGGGTGGTGGGCTTCTGTGGTTGCAGTGATGCTGGTTGGTGTTGGGTGTCAGTGCCGAGGATGCATGCTGCACCGCTTGTTGCTTGCTCATCATCCTGCTGCCATTGCTTGTGTTTTGTTGCTTGAGACAGATGGTGCCATCGCATGTGAATCTGGACGCCATGCTGGACTTCAAGGATGCTGGTGACAGCCTCCTTGGCGGTACGCTCGCTTCGTGTCACACACGTTATGAGGCCACCGTTTATGTTTCGCTGCGTCTGCTTGTCGACTCCTGCATTTGATGGCATGTTGCCTCGCTTTTCCTGCTTGACGTTGCTGGTTGTTCTCATGACTCTGTGGGGGTGGGCTTGTCTTGTTAGGTGGCAGCCTTTGGAGCCTCAGCGCACAGGAAGAGGTCAGTCAGGGAATACATGTTTGTGCGCGACCTCAGCCACACGCTTCTTTTGTGAACACATGCAACTTCTCGCTTTTGCAGCACTCATGAATAATAGCGTGAGTCTGCGCACTCATACACATGCGCACACACGCATGCACACACACACACACACACACACATTCACTCTCTCACATAACCACACACACTCACACATCCGCAGGAGGATTTCAATGCAGAGTTTGCCCGTGAGTACCAGAAGCTGTGGTCCGATGTGGGTGCCCAGGAGGAGCCGGAAACGACCGCAGATGTCTGGGGCGCTCCAGCTGCACAGCTGTACGCTCAACAGCAGGCCATGCCACAACAACAGCAGCAACAGCAACAACCACAGCAACAGAACGCCCAGGCGGCAGCGCCCGCAGCAGCACCGTCTGCGCTGTTGCAGTCGCTGCAAGTCGGGGGCCCAGTGCCGCAACTGCAGCAGAAGGAGGAGGCCGTCCCCATGAGCATCGAAGAGCTTGAGCAACAGATGATGTGCGCAGCATGTCGTGTTTGGGTGCTTTTATGTATTTGTTTGTGTGTATGTGTGTGTGTGTGCATGTACGCATGTCTCTCCTTCTCTTTGTCTTCTCTCTCTCTCTCTCTCTGTCTCTCTCTCTGTCTCTCTCTCTCTCTCTCTCCCTCCCCCCTGTGTCTGTACTGCAGTTCAACCATGACAACAGCGTGTGTCAGTGCAGCCTACTTTTCAATCTCCTGACCACTTGTTTGTCGCTCCCAACGCGCCCCAGGCAAGCCGGCGTCTCTGCTGCGCCCGAGCCCAAGCCCGCGGAGCCCAGTGCGAAGAAGGCAGAGGCCAAGAAAGGCGAGGCAGCGGCAGCAGCAACGGCAACAGTGAAGGAGGCAGAGGCAAAGAAGGGCCCGTCCCTGGCTGTTCCGAAATCGCGGGAAATGACGGAGGTGCCCGAGGACGAGCGCGCACCGCCACCAGACTTCCTGCCAGTGGGATTCAAGGTGAGCGGGGCATGTGGGGTTGATTGAGTTGGGAGGGGGCGGGGCGGGTTCATTGACTGGCTGGTTTGCTTGTTTGTTTTGTTTTGTTTTTTGTTTGTTTGTTCGTGTAGCTCCGCACGTAGTTTTTTGGTGTTCCTACTCCGCTTACATATTTGTGAACACTCGCGTGCGTGTCATCACCCCTCACCATGCTTGTATGCCTGTTGCCATCATCATCACCGCCGCCGCCCGTGTGTGATCAGGGGTTTCATTTGCGCGACGAGGACATCAAGCGCGAGACGGACCTCATGAGCAAATACATGGAAAAGGTTTGGCACCTCTGTCATCGACGCTCCTGATGCTGTCTGTTAGCTCTGCCGATGGTTTGGCAATGCACATGCGCACTCACGCTCACCGCCGCTGCTGGCTTTATGTTCATGGTTGATTGTATGTGTTTTGTGGTTATGTGGTTGTGTGATGCGTCACGTGTCACTTGTCACTCACCGCGCTGTCGCCTCGCCTGCTGCAGCTGACAAGCATCATGCTGGCCATCCACGCCAAGTGCGCTATGCACGAGTACGAGCGCAACAAGATCCGCCGCAAACACGAGGCTGCACGCGCTGCCGGCAACGTGGTATGCGCGCACCCACGCATATGCACTCACGCATATGCACTCACATGGGCACGATCACACGAGACACAGTCACACACACAAACACACACACACACACGCACGCACAGGGTCCTCCGCCAAGCTCACCTGTATCATATGTGTGTGTGTGTCAGCCGCGCGAGATGCTGGACAGATTTGAACGCGCCCACTACCACGAGCACCAGGTGCGATTGCCAGCTGTCTGCACAAGTGCGATGTCAATGCTCTGTGTGTACGTGTGTGTGTGTGTGTGTCTCGACGTGCATCTGTACTCATACACTTTTTCCATGTGTGTGTGTGATCGCAGGCGTTCCGTCGTGCGTTCTTCGACTTCAAGCAGCTGGAGGCAGCGCAGCATCTCGCCAGGGTGTGCGCGCACGTGTGTGTGCATACATGTGTGTCTTGTGTTTGTTTGTTGTCACGTGACTATGCACATTGTGGTGTTGATTATGAGCAGTCTACTCACCACGCAAGCAACCACAACCACCGTGCATCCACCACGCCCCCCCCCCCCGCTCCCGAACCGCAAATGTGTTGACAGAAACACCTGTACGAGTACGTTGCTGCGTGTCTGGATGAAGATTCGCGCCTGCGCCTCTTTGTTCTTCGCGAGCTCGCTGTCAAGCGCATGATGGACACCATCACCGCACGCATGCGCCAGCTCTCCTCCCAGGCAAACAAGGCCACAGACCAGTACAAGGTGTGTCATCGGCCTGTGGTGGCATAAAGAGTCTGGAAGGATGGGATGTGCACATTCGGGTTGAGGGGTGAGCGAGGGCGGGTTGGCGATGTAGGTTTTTGCTGCTGCTATCACTCACGTGCTCCTCGGTTGATGCGAGCGTTGACTTTTGAGGTTAACAAGCTTACGTCTTGTCTTCCACCACAATGATGTTGTGTGCATTGTGCGTGCGTGCGTGTGTGTGTGTGTGTCCAGGAGAAGCTGAGGGAGGTTGCGTCGAACCCGGCCGCCCGCAGAGAGGTCCGCACGTCATCCTAAAACTTGTTTTGTTTGCCTGTGCGCGTGTGGGTTGCGTGGATTGTGCTGTCGACAATTCACTCCGTGTGTGCCTGCACTGCAGATGCGCAAGATGCAGCTGGAGTATCTTCAGCTCACGCAGGAGCTCGAGTTCTTCGTCTCCCTTCGGTACGGTCCATGATGTTGACACCAGGAGTGTTGAGGCGGATGAGGAGATGTACCAGCCAAACGCACACACACACACACATACACACACACACACACACACACACACACACACAAACGACATGTGGTTTTGCGTGTGCCGCGCCTCCTCACTCTGCTGCGTCACGTGTGTGTGTGTGTGTGTGTGTGTGTGTGTGTGTGTGTGTGTGTTTGCGTGTGGTGCAAGGAAACCTGTGCTTGCGGAGGCGCGATTTGTGCGCGGATATCTCCGCCTGCACCGCCAGCTCAAGGAGCAGCACCTCGTGCGTTGCAACATTGCTGTGGGCTGTGATGCGTTGTGTTGCGTGTTGCGTGACATGCAATCGCCTGCATCTGTTCCCGTCCTACGTGTCTTTTTCCTCCGCTGACTGTTGGTCTGCCCCACGAACACAAGCTGCGCGCCAGCACACTGCTCACTGCCAACTCACCTCCGCTCTCCAACACGATCGCTCTCTCACGCATGCGCGCACACGTACACACACACACGCCCACAGGCTGCGTCTGAGCAGAAGATTGACCGGCGGCAGGTGTACTCGAACCTCATGCGCCCCTCGGAGCGCACATGGCTCTACAACGTCCAGATGAAGCAGGTCAGGTTGCTTCTCCCCTCCCCTTTGCTTGTCTCTGTCTCTGTCTCTGTTTCTGTGTGTCTCTGTCTCTTTCGCTCGCTGTCTGTCTGTCTGTCTGTCTGTCTGTCTGTCTGTCTGTCTGTCTGTCTGTCTGTTTGTCTCTTGTTCTCTCGCTCTCGCTGTACCTGTTTATCATGTTGTCGTAATGCTGTGTGTGACCGCTGACATGTGGCTGGCTGCAACATGAACTGCCGCTGCACACGACTCTGCACAGGCGGAGACGGAGAACCCGTATCTCGACGACTTCTACTACCACGTGAGCAGAGCATGTTTTTGTCGTCGTCTTCGCCCTGCACGCGTTCCCTCTCTCTGTCTCTGTCATTGTCTCTCTCTCTCTCTCTCTCTCTCTCTCTCTCTCTCTCTCTCTCTCTCTCTCTCTCTCTCTCTCTCTCTCTCTCTCTCTCTCTCTCTCTCTCTCTCTCTCTCTCTCTCTCTCTCTCTCTCTCTCTCTCTCTCTCTCTCTCTCTCTCTCTCTCTCTCCCCCTGTCTGTCTGTGATGTCTGTTCGCATACATGCGCGTACGCGTGCCTCTCGTTGATTGCGCCCATGCGTGTTCAAGAGCTCTGTTGTTCTGTGTGCTGCCCATTGTTGATGCGCGTGCGAAAGTCACGGCCTTTTCGTTGGCTCCCATCCCACCTCACCATGTGCTGCGTGTACAGGTTGGCTGCGGGTTTGTGCTGCAGATCTTCATGGTTGCCCAGCACGTCTTCAAGATGGCCCCGGCCCAGCTGCCCATGTGGTGCGAAGAGAGTGTGCATGTTCTTGTGACCTCCCACCTTGTCCATGCACATTTCTTCGAGCTTACACTTGAGCGCGCGTGCACACACACACACACACCGACTTGTACGCACTGTGCGTTGTTGATGTCTCATCGTTTTACGCAACGTGCACACACGATCAGGGTGGCTGAGGTGAAGCTGTTTGGCAAGGAGGTGGCAGATCCGCTCGGCCGCCGCGTCGCCACCATGTCCCAGCGCGAGTGCGAGCAGGCGCTCGTCCTTCTGGAGGGGATCAAGGTCGTCACTTCCGGCGAAGTGCAGCACCCAGACCTCGCACAGAAGCTCCAGTCAGTGCCGTCTGTGTGTCTGTCTGTGTGCATGTATGTTGTGTGTGTGTGTGCTGTGTGTGCATGTATGCTGTGTGTGTGTGTGTGTGTGTGTGTGTGTGTGTGTGTGTGTGTGTGCTCTGTGTGTGTGTGTGTGTGTGTGTGCTGTTTGCTTGCCTTTGTCTTGACTACTGCTCAAAGAGACTGTCGCGTTTTCATTGCCCAGCACTGACGCCTTCTGCTTCTTCTGCTGCTTCTTCCTTCTGCTGCTGTTTGCACAGGGACCGCCGTGCCGCTGTGATGCAGGAAGCCGGAGATGAAGAAGACGAGGAGGGCGAAGAAGGCAAAGAAGAAGGCAAAGAAGAAGGCAAAGAAGCTGCTTCCTCCCAGGCCTAACCATGTGTGTTGTGTTGTTGTGTTGTGTTGTGTGGGTTGTTTTCCCCTTGTTTTGCCTTGCAAGTCCTCCTTGGCCATAAATCCTCAAATGCCACCACTGAACGAACGGCGGGTCACGTGATTATGGCGAGCTTGTTGTCACCCATCACGCGCCGCTTGTGAGAGCTCAAACGCAAATGCACCTGCCTGTGTGTCCGCTCGTGTGTGCCTCCCTGTGCTCTGTCTTGCGTGTGCGTCTCCTGCGGTTGTACGTGTCTGTCTCCAACAGAATGTGTTCGTCTGTGCACGCGTGTGGGCCTTTGTTAGCAGCACGTCAAGCTCATGTGGGGTTTGATGTTGTGCGTTTGTGTGCAGGGCACGGGCGTGGAGCATGTACTCGCATGCGCTGGAGAAGAGACCGTTCATCACAAAAGGCTGCACAGCCTTCACCATCTACACAACCGCAGACGTCATCAGGTGCGTGTGCGTGCACATGCGCCTGTGCACGCTTTGGCAAGCGTCCCACTTCCACACCCCTTTATCTCACCCCATCGTCTCATCACACACACACACACACACACACACACACACACACACACACACACACACACACACACACACACACACACACACACACCAGGCAACGCTATGAGTTCTCCGTGCTGGACGCCAAGGAGCAGGAATTGCGGCAGGGCAAGTGGCTGGACGAAGCACGCGCAGTCCGGCTCTCATCATGGTATCAACGCGTCATGGTGAAGGACCTTTGTTTCTCTTCCTTGACGTGAAAGGTTGTGCATGGGGAGGAGGATTGGATTGGCTCATCTGTCATTCACGTATGTCTCGCACACATATGTGCTTCCAGGTACGCCGTGGTGCACGCTCCATACATTCACATGTGGTATGGCTTCTTGGACAAGCTCTACGGCATCGGGCCAGGGTTTCGTCTCGCGTTTAAGAAGGTCGTCACAGATCAGGTACAAATCGGCGTGTACACGCGTATGTGGGTGTTGGCATACACGTCGAGTGCATGTATGTGTGTATGTGCAGGTGGGTGTGGATGCATACCAGTGTGTATGTGTATGTGTACGATAGTGCGTATGTGCATGTGTGCGTGTTCTACTGCAAGACATGGCGTGTGCACTCCTTCCCTTTGCTGCTTTGAGTTCTCCGGTCTCACAAGCACCAATCCCCTTGACAGACGCTGAACATGCCGCTGTTCTTGGGCGTCACGCTCTACGTCAGCGCACGGATGTCTGGCATGAACCACACCGATGCATGGGAGAAGACAAAACGAGACCACCTCGAAACGATCATTGGTGCGTGCGCGCGCGCGTGTGTGTGTATGCACAGAGTGGTGCTCGCACAAGCCAAGTGAACAAGTGGTTGCATGCACACGCTTGCTCACAAACACGCACACACACACACACACACACACACACACACACACACACACACACACACACACACACACACACGCACACACACACCGAACGACATGCTTCTGTGACACAAGGCGCGGCCCTGTGTTGGGTGCCGGCACTCTGCGTGAACTTCATGTATGTTCCGCCAAAATACCGCCTCCTCTTCGTCAACGTCGTCCAGGTCAGATGAAGGGAAGGCGGCGCGAGGGCCGAGAAGATTGTGCTCGACACACAGACACGCACACACAGACACGCACACACACATACACACACGCACACACAGACACACAGACACGCACGCACACAGGCACACGCACACACTCTCTCTGTCTCTCTGTCTCTCTGTCTCTCTCTTTCCTACACTCACTCATACATACACACAATTAGGTTGGGTTTGGCGTGTTTTTGAGCAAGATGGCAAATCGGTCTGCTGACGACACGCCACCATCACCGCCGCCGCCACCACACCACCCGGCCTCGTCTGCACACCAAACGTCCCCACTGCCCGCACACTCCCCTGCCCTCTCCAATGCCGTGGCTGCATCCACACCACCAACGTCCGCGTGACACGCCAACGAGCTGGGGTGTTGGCTAAGCTAAAGCAGTTTTCTTGACTGACGACAACAACGACGATGATGATTGTGCGCTGTGTGTGTGTGTGTGTGTGTGTGTGTGTGTGTGTGTGTGTGTGTGTGTGTGTGTGTGTGTGTGTGTGTGTGTGTGTGTGTCTGTGTGTGTGTGTGTCACTCACTAGAAGGGGGGGGGGGATTCGGGGAAGAGAAGATACACTTCAATTCGACGCGCCTCGCCCCCCCCCCCCTTTTCGATGATTAATAATTACGTCCCCTGATTAAGTGTCATTCCCGTTCTCCTCGCATGCTTGACTCTCTAGATGTCGGCTTCTTTCATTCAGAATAGACAACAGCAAACATACGAATGCCACCACTGTGTAGGAGACGCACACACACACACACAGAGGCTCACGCACACAGAAGCACACGCACACACACATACGCACACACACACATACGCACACACACATGTGCACGCGTGGAACTTGACATGCACACCGATGGCGACAACGTGTAGAGCTACCTGCGGCGTGGGCGCTTGAGCATCTTCTCCTCGTGTCTGCTCTCTGCCATGAGAGCCTCCACCTCTTTGACCTTGGCCCACCTGTGCGCATGTGCCAAACGTGATACAATTGGTGAGCAGCCGTTTGCAAGGTGACGCGTGCACGCGCCCATGCATGCCCACAACCACAACCACTGGTAGAACGCACGCACGCACGCATGCATGCACGCACAATCATACAACCACAATAGCAACGCCACACACATAAACATGACGCAACCACGATACCTCTCTGCGTCTCTCTCCTTTTGCTCCTCCAGGCGAACGCGGGCGAGGAATTTGGTGTCTTTGCGCAGCTCCTTGATGGCGCCCTTGCGCTCCTTCTTGTACTGGTGTTGCAGCCGCGCTGTTTGGGTTGGGTTGTATTGTGCATGGTTGCGCGTGAGGTGGATGCGGGTGGTGCGTGAGTTGCAGACGTGTTTAAGCAGTGCACAGCACAGACCAAGCAGAAAGACACACGCACACACACACACACGAGTACACGCGGTCGCACACACGAGTACACGCGGTCGCACAGACGAGTACACGCGGTCGCACGGACCCACACAGACACACAGACACACAAGAAACGCAAAACGCAGACACGCGCACACAGACACACACACACGACGACACACACACACACACACACACACACACACACACACACACACACACACACACACACACACACACACACACACAAGTACACGTAAGCCGCACCAATGTCGCGCTCCTCGCCAGAGATCTTGCGTCCTTTGCGGTCGATGAAGACCTCGTTGAACTCGGGGACGAGTTCTGGCAGCGGCACGGGCCGGTGCGCCTGCAACTGCAGGTGGTGGCGCGTGTCGGTCGTCTGCTGCTCAATCTTGTCGGCGAGGCGTGTGCTCAGGTTGCGAGTGGTTCGCGGATGGTTATTGGAGGACGCAATGTCCCGCAGGCAAGGCAGCACGTGCTTGCAGCCATCAAACACAGCTGGAAGGCAAAGCGATCGGCAAGGTGCGCAGAGCAGCACATGTGAATGGAAGGCTCGTCCACATCAGCAACAGAAAAGACACACGCACTCACTCAAGCTCACATACACACACTCGCGCACTCACGCAGTTACGCGCATATTCATACACACAATACACACACACGTGCGCGCGCACCTGTGTAGCTGGAGTAGATGGAGAAGGCGGTGGAGAGGAGGCGCAGCGCCGTGTAGATGAGCTGCTGCTTGATCTCTTCCTCGCTTTCCTCCATCTCCTTTGCACCAACTTGCAGCAGCCGCAGCGACAGCTTCCTGCTCACCAACACATGCAGCAAATGGTGACAAGCCCAACGATGAGCACCACATGAGATTGCTCAAACACCGCCCATGAAAGGAGCCCCATTCACACACACACACACAGCTCACTTACGGTGTGCTGTCTGTCGTAGGCGGAGACTTGCATGCAAGCATGGCCTTCTTTGACGCTGACAGCTTTTGGAATGGCGGCAGGCACTCAACCCGCGAATACTGCACACGTTCACATGCACACACACACACCATCTTCTATGAGAACACATGATAGCGCCGCAACAGCAGGAGATGCGGCAGAAACATAAGCAAATGCGCGTTTCGTTACTCGTTGCTGCACGAAAAACGGCCGCGTACCTTGCTGCTAGTGAGGAGGAGGGTGCTGGTGAGGAATGTGACGGCTTCAGGGACGAAGCGTTTCGCTTCACGTATGGCCTCCAAGTAGCACGTGGTGATGTGAAGCCCTGAAGGACAACAACAAGGAGATGCTCATAAAACAACAACACCAGACACGAAAGCGAGAGCGCATCCCAGCGCACACACGCCACTGAAACCGCTTGCGACACCCCGCAGAATACGATGCACCTCAGGCCGGCACGTCACGGCACAGGATACGGAACGAGCAGCAACAGCAGTAGCCACGCGTCACCACCACCACCACCGCCAACAGTCACAACCAGCCACAACAAACCAAGCACGCGTTCGCAAACGGCAGCAGCGCGCACCTGCGGCGATGTTTCTGAGGGAGGCGACGTTGCAAGACGTGAGGAGGCAGGACATGATGAGGAATGCTGGCGTCATCACGGGGTGGCGGAAGTCCGTTGACGGGAACAGAATCGGGAACAGCTGCAACAGGCAGTGGGGGATCGTGCAGAGAAACAAAACGCAGGAGCAGGGGATTGGCAATGTCAAAGACGGGCACAAGAACAGAAGAGAAGGGCGGGGAGACACGACCATGAGTGACAAAGTTGCAAAGCAACAACGCAGCACGGAGCGCAACCAATGCGCAATACACAAACACACACGTACATACGAAACACACATGCGACAACACACTGACAACCCACACCACAAACACCTGCAAAACAAACACAACAAACACAATACACACAATACACACAACAAACAAACAAACACCTGCAAAACACACCACAACAAACACAACAAACACAATACACACAACAAACAAACAAACACAACAAACAAACACACAATACACACAAACACAACAAACAAACATAACAAACAAACATAACAAACAAACACAACAAACAAACGAGCACAACAACCCCGCCACACCTGGAGGACGATGAGGTGGCTGAGGCGCGGGTAGTTTGGGTTTGTCTTGGCTGCGAGCTGTTGGTGGAGCGATTGGCACCACGCACGACACCAGTGAGCGGCCGGTCGCGGAATGCTCTGTGTCATCTCAAACAGGGTTCTGCATCCCAGTCGGTCAAGGCGAGCAAAAGTACAGAGATGAATGACAAGAGGGAGGGTGAGTGGTGGCGATAGGGGGAAGGCGCAATAATCAAGGTCATACACATACGCAAGCGGGCATGTGTAGGCAGGAAAGGCGCTCGAGCAAATACCGCAACAGAAGCAGGTGCCTAGTTGAGAGCCAGCACCACAGCGCCAAACCTGATTGCTCTGTTGATGGGCGCCAAGTCGCTTGCTTTCGTGGCGCTCACATATTTCTCGATAGCCGTCCACAGCAGGTTGTACCGGCGCTGTTGATTCAGGGCGCGTTCGGGTGCGAGCACACGGGCGCAGAGCACAAGGGCAGTGAGGTCAAGCGTCGGCAACACAAATGGTGGAGGAGAAGCGACAATTGAAAGCAGCACATGAAACATGCTATTACAGTCACACATCGTCCCGCCTTTTCGCCACACTCGCAGAGCAACCAAGTCGCAAATGTGCAGCCAACCTACCGTGAGGGTGTCTGTTTTGCCTGCGCCCGTGGGGATGGCGAGGAGATGCTTCTTCAACAGCTCAGGGAGCGGCAGATCAGCAAGCTCTGCTTCTGGTGACAGCACTTTCAGCTCCTTTGTGTCGCCGCCCTTGGTCTTTGCCTTCTTTGATGCCTTGCGGTGGTGTGCAGGCACATCGAGGATGCCTGCGTCGTCGTCATCGGCGCCCGTACCATCATCCGCCATTCTGCAGTGCGATATTGCGAATGCAAAATATGGTGTGGCATGAGAGGGATGAGCATCGACAGTGCAGTGTGCCCCAAGCGACCTGGTGGAGTTGGATGTGCATCAACGACACAGCATACGTGTATGCAGCACATCAAGGTGTGTGCACGCAAATGCACGAACCGCCTGATTCGCTCTTTCTCGAGACGCTCCAGCTTCTTCTGATATTCCTTGTCGCGTTCCTGCAATCACACGCAAACAAGAGACAACAGCATGAGCAACGCAAAACTAGCGCACGAGCAAGAACAGGATGCGAGCAACGACGGTGCACGATCATGCAAGCAGACACACGAACACACACAAACACACACATACACACACAAACGAAAACAATAACAGAACACAAACATAGCACGAACATGAACCCGAACAAAAACACACACACACACACACGAACAAAAAGCACGAACACGAACACACACACACACGTGTTGCGCTGTCGCTGACCTCTTGTGTCTTAATGTGGTTGCTGGCCTCGTTTCTGGGCTCCATCTGCAGCTGCAGCACGAGCTGATCAAAGTCCGACGTCTGCCGCTCCTCGGGCACCCGGCCGGCCTTGACGGCGGCGTTGGCGGCGCGCACCACCTCCTGCTCCATCTCACCGTACTCTGCGTCCAGGTCCTTGAGCTCTTGCAGCGGGTCGTTCATCTCATGCTGCTTCTTCGCCATCTCTTCCTCCAGCATCCGCACGCGGTCCTCGGCGCCGCGCCGCCTGGTCATGCCGCCAAACCGCGCCATGTCCGCAATCTGCTCCGTCGTCAGCGCCTCCTCCTGCTCCTGAAACATCTCGTCGTCGTCTGACGGCAGCAGCTCCTCCTGTGTGTGTGTGTGTGTGTGTGTGTGTGTGTGTGTGTGTGTGTGTGTTGGGTGTGTGTGTGTTGGGTGTGTGTGTGTGTGTTGGGTGTGAGTGAATGAGTGCGCGGGTGTGTGTGTGTGTGTGAATTAGTGCGTGTGTGTGAGAGTGAGTGTGTGTATGCGTGCGTGATTGCGTGGAACGTGTGCATGAGTTTGAGTGAATGAGTGCGCGCGTGTGTGTGTGTGTGTGTGAGCGTGAGTGTGTGTATGCGTGTGTGATTGCGTGAAACACGTGTGAGTGTGTGTGTGTGATGCCAGCGGAGGTGGCTTCACAAACACACACACACACAGACAGAGCAACAACAAACACGTGTGAGCATGGAGACAGAACATGCAGGAACCTACGCGTTCTTCGAAGCCTTCTTCATCGCCTTCCAAGTCGATGTTGTATTTGGAGTTGCCTTTGAAGGACTTTGCGCGCTCTTTGGCCACGCGAAGTAGGGCACGATCTTCCACCGCAAGGTCCTGTGTGAGAGCAAACAACATGTAGTAAGGTGGGGGCATGCATGAGCGAATAACAGGCGGGAATGGAAGCCACAGCGGCAACAACCAGCAGCAAAACGAGTGCATGGCTATAACAACGCGCAACCAAGTGCATGCCCACAGGCAGAGACAGGGCGCTGAAGACACACATGCATATGCACATACACACGCATACACACGCATACACATGCACGCGTGCACACCCACACATGTACACATGCACACACATACACGCGTGCACACCCACACATATACACATGCACACACATGCACGCGCATACACATGCACGCGTGCACACCCACACACGCGTGCACACACACGCACATGCACACATTCACACACATGCACGATATGTGCACGTACAGAATCGTTCTCGCCAAGGCGGCGATCTGCAAAGCGCGTTGATTTGGAGCGGGATTTGTAGTCGTGAAGCAAGGTCTTCTGGCGGAGCTTGATAGATTTGCCGGAGTTGCGCTTGGTGGCAAACGGGTTGTGTCCTGCAAGCACTTGTTCATCCAGCAACGCCCGCGCGTTCTTGTTCTTCCTGTTTGCACCGGATTTCTTCTTCATCCCCATGCCTAGCACCTTCACGCCGTGCTGCTGCAACTGCTTGCGACGCTCAGCCTCGCGCTGGCGCGTCTTGGCGCTTCGCTTTCTTCCCATGTCTGCGTTGGCTGGTGTGCGATGCTGTGTGGGTGATGTGTGTGGTGCTTCCTGGTTCGTCTTGCTTGTCCTCTTCGCACAAACACACGTGGGTTGTGGCGATTGGGGAACGATACACGCCAAATTTCCATCTTGCCCTCTCTCCCTGGCTACGTTTCATCCTGTCGTTTTCATTCGCCCGCGCTGCCTGCAAGCTCAAAATCCCACCACACAAACCACAAGCAAGAGCACACCCAAGACCGAGCTATCCTTCCACCCCTCCCTCCCTCCTTAGCTCCTTCCCCTCCCTTGCTTCCTTCCTTCCTCTCCCTTGCTCCCTTCCTTCCTCCCTCCCTTCATTCACTCAAACTCAAACACTCGTGTTCACAACAACCACAAGACAATGCTGGCCGTGCAGGCTGGGGCTGGAGGGCGTGCTGGGTGCGCAAAACGGCACGCTCAGCACCACGCTCAGCACCACGCTCAGCAGCACGCTCAGCAGCACGCTCAGCAGCACGCTCAACACAGCGATGCCACATGTACCCATTTCAAAGCAGTGGATGGCACTCGGCCCCAAGGTTCTCTGCGTGCTCGTCCTAGTTGCGGCCCAAGGACACGCCTCATTGTTGCCTGTGTCACGGCGATCGCTATCCTCCTCCTTGTGCCCGCCCAAAGTTCCGCCTCTGCGCTGACACATGAAGAGCACAACACCAAGAACAAGAACACTGTCACTCATGACCAGAGCAGCGTGTGCAGCAGTCCAACCCCAAACAAGAAGAGCACTTCAGGTGCAACTGGAGCAAGTCGCTTCGACAACATCGTGCAGCAGAAGGAAGAGCATGACCCGGCCACGTTTTGGCTCGGTGCAGGCTGCACAGCCCACGCACGGGCCTGTGAACAAGCTCGCGCATCCTTGCTCGCCATGACCACCATTGGCGAAGAATGGTACCGCAACAGCGCTACAACAAACACTGATCCTGAACAGAGACCAGAGCGCCGCCCAGGCCCAGTGCCCTCCAACAGCAAGAACAGCACGCTGCCACCATCACCGGCCTCCCTCAGGCAACAACACAGCGACCACGCACGCACACTCGAGTCTTTCATTGAGCTGTTTTGCACCTGGCACAGGATACACACCGCCGGCCCCAACCCGGCAACACAGCCTCGCACAGGGCCTGCGCGACCACACACGGCGCCCGCTGCACACAGCCACACAGAGCACGCACGCATTACACCTGAGCACTTACGCGAGGACAACAAACGGGACCCTGAAGCACCTTCAACCCCGGCACCGACGATGATGACACGGCAGCCACGTCGAGCAAGCCACATCCCGCGTTCTCCACCGGATGAGCATCCGCCTCAACACCGCCCACCACAGCAACCACCGCATCCACACATATACGCGGCGCAGCCGGCAACACTGGCACAAGACCACTTCGCACAGCAACAACTACAACACCAGCTCCACCGACAGCCACAACAGCCGCCACAACTGAGCAGAGTCCGACGTGAGGCAACACCACCTACCACGGCGACACAGCCCACCACCGCACCAACCATTTCAACAACATCCACCGTCCCCGGCTCGGATGTCCTGCAGCGGCCTGTCATCTGCCAGATCTCCCCCGCCTTTCGCATCGACTGCACCTTCGCGCGCGAAAACCCAGAGCTGGTCCTGAACATTGAGGCCGGGAAGCGGCCCCTGCCACCGCCCAGCGAAAACCGAAGAGAGTTCTTGCAATCGCTGTTTGACCTGGTTCAGCCAAAGAACCTCACCATCACCGGCAGCATGCTCTCCGAGGACATTGAGCTCGTGCTCACCTTCAAGTTTCCCTTCGTGGACACCATTGGCATCCATGGCTTGGAAAGCCGCATGTTCGTGCTTTCCACCCTCAACCCGCTGTCCGCCATCACCACCGTCGACCTCAGCGGAAGCGACCTGCCGGAGCTCCGCGCCACCAAAGCAGACAACGACACCAACGTGTTCATCCGCGGGCCCTCAATCAAAACCTTCGACGTGAGCGGCAACGGCCTCTCCATCCTCACCAACCGCACAATCTCCAGCCTGCCCAACCTGGAGACGCTGTACTGGAACCGCAACCAGGTCCGCCGCATCGACACCGACGCCTTCCAAGGAAACCCCAAACTGAAGCGCCTCAACCTCCAGGACAATCGCCTCACCACCCTCACCTCCCACAGCTTTGCTGGCCTGGACAACATCACCTCCATCAACCTCAAACACAACGGCATCATCACCCTCGATCCAGACGCCTTCAGCACCGTCACCTCCGTCACCCACCTGTTCCTCGACAACAACCCAATCGAGGCCCTGCCTGCCGGCGTCTTCAAGCACCAGACCCGCCTCGAGGTCTTGCACATCACCAACACGCAACTGGAAGCCCTGCCGCCGGGGCTCTTCACCGCGACCACCATGCTGAAGGAGCTATTTCTGTTTCAAGGCCGCATCACCGCCATTGACGGCTCCTTGCTGGCGCCCCTCACCCGCCTGGCCAGCCTCAGCTTCACCAACAACAGGCTTGTCACAATACAGCGCGGCGTCTTTAATCGCCTCGTGAGCCTGTCCGAGCTCTACCTCACCAGCAACGACATCGCGTCCGTGCACGAGCTTGCCTTCACTGGTATGCGAAACCTCACCACCCTCTCGCTTCATGACAACAACCTCAACGACCTCCATCCCCGCATCTTTGCCTCGTTGTCCCAGCTGCAGTACCTCGATCTCGGCCGCAACTTCCTTGACCGGATCCACGACCGCCTCCTGGCCGCGTGCCAGAACCTCCACACGCTCATTCTCACCTTCAACTCGCTCACCGCCTTCAGCCACGTGCCGCTTCCCTCCCTTGAGGAGCTGCGCCTGCACAACAACCCCTTGATGGAGCTCCCAGATTTCTCGCCCTTGAAGAACCTGCGCATCCTGCTCTCAAACGGGCACCGAATCCGAGACGTCGACCTTGTGCCTCTGCTCCACCTTCCCAAGCTGAGCACGCTCGAGTTTGCCGCGGACCCTTCCTTCGAACACTCAAAGGCTCGACCCCTGGACCCGCTGGATGACAGGCACCACACCGAGGACGACATCGCCAAGAACCTGCGCGCCCTCGACATCACCGGGGTGGAGCTGCCCGCCACCATTCCGCAGCGGCTCACGCGGCTGAACCTCAACCTGGTGCGGTTTGCGGCGGGCTGGCCAGGCATGACCGACAACATCATCAGCACCCAATCCCTGTGCAAAATCCTGAACGACGATGTGGAGGAGTTTGCCCTCACCAACACAGGCTACGTCCACATTGACTTGTGCCCGCAGAAGACGTTCCGGTCCGTGTTCATGCCAAAAAATGCGCACTTGAAGACCCTTCGTATCCGAAACGCGCTGGAACAGCTGGTGCTCATGCGGTGCACGTCCCTGACGCAGCTGCTCTTGCCCCGCGCCGAAGCCATTGACCTCTCCTTCACGCGCGTGGAGTCCATCGCCCCTCTTTGCAATGGGTGGGGATCACGCATCCTCTTCTACCGCAGCGTGGACAACCCGCTCCTCAAGGCGCAGGGGCCCGAGCTCTTCCAGCGGTGCGTCCTCAACGGCGAAGTGGTCGACTTCAGCGACAACCCTTGGATGGACCGCCTGCTGCAGATGCAGGCCGTGACCAACCGGCCCATCGTCTTGTCTTCACAGCAGTTCCTTGGCCAGGACCGCTTTGACACGCCAAACCGGCCCGACGCGCCCGTGGTCACCATGCAGAACACACCGGTTGTGTGCCGGCCCTCCTTTGACCACGTGCACGTGCGCCCGCGCGACGACCCAGAGCAGCTGCAGACGCAGCTTTCCTTCAACTTCCGCTGCACTTGCGCCAACGAATTCGTCAGCAAAGGTGGGCGCTGTGTGAGTGACAGGAGCAAAATCATCCTCATCACGTCGCTCAGTGTGTCCATCGGGCTGGTGTTGGCAATTGGGTCTGCCGTGTTCGTTTGGCAGTACCGCGCCCGCGCCAAGGACAAGCGCATCATCCGCGCCAACGAAGAGAAGCTGGCAAAGCTCAAGGCCAGCTGGCACATCCCCTACAACCACCTGTACTTTGAGGGTGTCGTCGAGAAGGGCACGTACGGCATGGTCAAGCGCGCCAAGTACGGCGAGCAGACGGTGGCTGTCAAGATCCTGCACCAGGCCCTCAAGGAGCTCAACGAGGACACCATCGAGGAGTTTGAGAAGGAGGCGGAGTTTCTGCGCGAGGTCGGCAAGCAGTGCGAAAACATTGTTCTCTTCTTTGGCGCCGGCACGACCCCCGACGGGTGCCCGTTCCTCGTGCTTGAGTTTGTCGCGCACGGCTCCCTGGACCACCTGCTTGGCACGGTGGATGAGCGGGTTGCACGCGGCCCAAACCGCACAAAGACGCTTGCAGCGCTGCTCACAAATCTCAGGCGCGAGCTTGCCTTTGATGACGTTGCCATTGGCATGGACAATCTGGGCCAGGAAGGCATGGAGATGTCCCTCAGCAGGACAGCAAATGACGATGATGGTGGTGCTGGTAGTGGTGGTGGTGGTGGCGATGGCGGCGACCTCATGTCCACAACAACGAGCCTTCGTGTCCCCCTGCTTGCCCCAGAGCCTGAGCGGCGAGGCACTTGGCGCCGACGTCGCAGTGCAGTGCCAAAGCTGAACACTGAGCAGGCGCACACAGTCACGTTAACGGCACATGTTGATGAGCATGTCGCCGTGCCCGCCACTGTTTGGGCTCTGAAGAAGCGTATTGCCCTGGACATCAGCCGCGGTATGCAGTACATCCACGAGAACGACCACTTTCACAGGTACGTGTGTACATGCATGTGTGCGTGTGTGTGTGTGTCTGTGTCTGTGTGTCTGTGTGCCTGTGTCTGTGTCTGTGTGTCTGTGTGCCTGTGTCTGTGTGTGTGTGCCTGTGTGTTGGCGGAAGTCAAGGGGGAGGAGCCCGACTTGGCGACCTTGTGTTTGTTTTCGCTACTTGTGCAATGGAGAAAGCTTTATGCTACGAGGATCTTGGTGAAGCAGGGTGCCGTGGGTGAATGTGCGAGTGCTTGTGTGCCCCCCCTCCCCTTGTGTCATGTGCTAGGTTTCGCTTGTACGTATGCCGACACGGGAACACACATGTTCGCGACCTGATGCTTGGGTGTGCTAAACTGCGTGTTATCCTTACCACAGGGATCTGAAGAGTGGCAATGTGCTGGTGTCGTCGTATTTGCGGGCGAAGATCACCGACTTTGGCACAATCCACCACCTGACGACACAGGAGGAAGAGAACAAGCTCGGGGCCGCAGGAACGCCCGCGTACATGGCGCCCGAGGTGGCACTTGGCGAGGGCTACTCGAACAAGGCAGACGTGTTCAGCTTTGGCGTGCTCATGTGGGAGCTTGCGGCCGAGCAGCAGCCAGATTTGGTGGCCCAGGAGAAGAGGAGAACTGGGCATTCTCTGCCGGGGAGGTACCGTGATGTCTTGTGTCAACTTCTTGCGGCAGGAAAGACCCTCAGCTTCAACGACAGCCCAGCGTGTTCTGGTAGGTTTGTGTTGTGTGTGTGTGTGTGTATGTATGTGTGTGTGTGTGTTGTATGTGTGCCTGTGCGTGTCTATGTGTCTATGTGTTGTATTTGTGTATGTATATGTGATGTGTGCATGTGTGAGCATGAGATGTGTATGTGTGAGTGAGTGTGTGTGTGTGGGGGGGGGGGTTAAAGGTGATTCCACGCAAATGCATATCCCTGCGTACCTACGTGTTTGTGTGTACTTGCGTGTTTGTGCACACATGCGTATTGCGCAAGTGATAGCGAGTTCTTGTGCATGAGTTTCTCGTCAACCTTCTTGTCGTGCCGATTGATTGCTTTGATTCGCCAACGAGACACTGTTCTTCAACCCTCATGCTGCGAAACCAACAACGCGCCACCCCACCCACGACGACTCTGCAGTTGTTGACGGTTGGTATCGGGCGCTAGCGGAGCGCTGCATGGCAACACATCCGCAGGATCGCCCATCGTTTGCAGAAGCTAGGGAAATACTCCTAGAACATGGAGCAGAGCCTGGGGAGGGCGTGTCCTCCCTTTAGTTGCGAAGTTTTTCATTCGAGGTTGTTGAACCAATGCCCATGTGCTCCTGGTGTTTCCCGATTGCAGGTTTTAGGTGCTGCAAGTGTACGTTTGCAGCGCCATTTCAATGTTGTGCTGGTGTTTGCACCGGGCGTTCTGTTAAGGAGTAGCACGAGCCTTAGTTGCATGCAAGTATTGTTTTGTGTGTTGTTATTTCATGTGTTTTGCGTGTTGTTCATGTTACCCCGCCATCACACAAGCTGTAGTTGTTGCCACTTCAGCACTTCCTTTATGAACGACGAGTAGACAATTTTCCCATTCAGGACAGCACGCAACGCAGATGGTGGTCGCAGCAAGGCCTCAACGCGAGCCACACCACTCCTTAGGGCAGTTATCTTCAAACGCACTTGCACAAACAATGTGTTGCACACATGCAGGGAGCAACCCTGCATCTCAAGCCAACACCTCCACCAATACCACTACCGTGTTTCATCAAACAACAAGTAACGTAGGATGCTCACGCTGCAGGCACAAAGTGTGCGGGCAGACCGTACACAACGGGTGCAGCACCGTTGAGGTATGCCAGGAAGCATTCACGCCGCGCCTTTGCCACAAGGTCGCACAGGCCCTTGCACGCTTCAGGCACATCACCACCACTTCTTGTCTTGACGCGTTCCAGGTCCTGCAGTTGTGGTAGTGGTGAAGAGTGGTGGCGGTGGTGAGGGGTGGGGTTGGGGGATGGAGCATCATGTTAGCCAGGCGAACTGCGATCATGATGTGGCATGGACACCGGCAGACCGACTGTCCACTGCGTTATACAATTCAGGTGCTGTCGCACAAAGCATGTTTCCCACCTGGAGCATGTGGAGTGTGAACTTGTCAATGTCCAGGTCGGTGACGTCCCAAAGATTGGCGACAACGGCCTGCGCCCCAGATTCGATGAAGTTGAGCACCATCCCGTCCGCATCGTACTGCAGGACATAGCAATAGGTCCAGGGCACATGGAGGTGATTGAGAAGGTGAGGCAAGGGGGTTGAGATGCAGCCGACACGTCCATGTGTGCAGGTGTGCATGTGTGTGTGTGTGTGTATTCGAATGTGCATGCATGTGTGTGTGTGCGTGTGTGCGTGTGTGTGTGTGTGCGTGTGTGCGTGTGTGCGAGGTTGGTGTGGCGTGCAGACACGGCAACACCGCCGCACTGTCATGCACGCAGCCACGCGCGATCAGGATGTACATGAGGGTGTTGTTGCAGGGCAGCTTACGTAGCCCTGTGGATTGAGGCGGCCGCTGCTGCAGCCCATCATCAGCATGATCCCGCGGCGCGCCTGCAGCCGGCGCGCTTGATCGCTCTGCGCCAAAAATAAGAAAAGGGAGGTACAGTAAGCGAGTGTGTGTGTCCAAATATATGCGTTGCACGCGAGTTCGTGAATGCGTGTTAGATATGCGGGTGTTGTGAACATATGTGCTAGAATGCGTAATTGTTTGGGCGCACAGGTGAAGCACACAGGCCATCTGAAAGAGTCACTTCAAACGCGTTGTGAAAACAGGACACGCAGGCGCCCACCTGGATGTATTTGCGGCCGGATCCGTGCCCGCAGAACATAAACACATCCGCCCCTTCCACAGCCGCGGCAAACTACAAGTACACGTCAACACAAGCAGTCACACATGAGTGTTGAACATACTGTGTCGAAGCTGTTGTGTCTCGGCACGCTTGCATGTGTGTTTTCGTGCGTGCGTGCGTGTGTGTGTGTGTGCGTGCGCTTGTGTGTGTGTGCGTGTGTGTGTGTGTGTGTGTGTGTGTGTGTTCGCGCTCGCGTGTCCGTGTGGGTGTCCAACACGCTCACGTTGCAACAGCACGCACCTGCGTTGCAGTGACGGCCTGCCCAGCATGTCCGCTCCATCCAAGCCGCTTCACCACAGGTAGTATGCGTTCTATCATGCACAAGCACATGCGTCAGGATCGGAGGCATTGTTCCAATACGCGCACTCATGCATGGACACGCGCATATTCAAGGAACAAAGCACACAAACAAACACACACACAGACAAATCAAGCAAGCACACACACACAAACAAACACAAAAAAAAAACACATGCAAACACACACATAACCACACAACCACAAACAAAGTAGCAAAGGCATCAAACGCTTTGTGACCTTGTGTGGCGGAAAGGTCGCCTGCGGGGTTGATGATGAACGTGCAGTTGCTGAGAGATACGGAAGTGCAAATGTCCTGCTGATCGTGACAACCATCCTGTTTCTCATGTAGCGCCAGCAAGTGCTGCAGGTGCTGAATCGACACAAGACGCGACACGGGCTGTGACCGGAGAGAGGGCATGGATTCCAGCGGCAGCATCTGCAAATCGCCGTCGAGCAACAGCAGCGTGTGTTCGCGTTGCAGCGCACTGTCAACAAGATCCTGTCGCTTTCGCATTGCATCAGCGCCAACGCCATCGCCATTGCTGCTGCCCTGTGCGGTGCCGGGCCCCACTGGCTCGTGGTCGTCATCAGGGTCGCTCTCAAAGCCAAACAGTGACGCCGGGGCTGAGGTGTGTTTGCGTCGCACGGCCGTGTCCGCTGTTGCACTGGATTGTACGGCCGCACTCCTGACACGCGCGCGCGCCTTGCCCTTTCTCGAGCGGGAGAAGGCAATGGGTGTATCCGGGACATCAGCGGCTGCTGTCGTACCGCCTGTTGCGCTTGTCGTTGCTTCTGTCGGGAGGCCAAGCACCTGTCATGACACAGCACAGAGGACCAGCCAATGCGTTCGTTAGAGGAAGGTAACTTGTGCAAGGAGAAGCAGCAGCACAGGCAACCACACTTCCACCCCCGGCCATGCCAAGCAGAGGATGGTGTTCACCTCGTGAGCAAACGCGCGGGCGTCGGTGTGTAGTCTCGAGAACACAGGGGCGAGGTTGTTCTGGGTGCCAACGAGGAAACAACACCCAAGCAAAATGGTTCAATACGGTTAGCAGAGCGAAACAAGGCCATGAATTGACACGGAAGCCACGTCACATGTTCGCATCATGCCAGTACCCATTCCACAAATCCTCCCTCACCTGTGCATCGTCAACTGTGGTGTGAAGCAGGCGGCCATGTGCCACGCGAGACCATCTCTGAGCACTGAACGCTCGACCTCGACACGCATCCTCCGTCACAGTGGACACCAGCGCACGCAACAGCGGCCGCTGGAGCTGAGGCACGCCGAGCTCTTGTTCAAGCTTGATCACCTGTGACAACACCACAACAGTAGCATTGTGAGTGTGAGCAGGGCCAAAAAACAAAACAAAAACAAAACAAGAACAAATAAACAAACGCAACACACTGATGTCAACATGACGGCACTCAAAAAGACGTGCCGGTGCACGTAAAACGCAGAAAACCACATATGGACAACCAGGTATGGAATGAGCACAATGCCAAAGGATGCGCTTCCTGATTTTCACCAGACAGCAAAACATTAATGACATCAAATTGTGACACCTTATCGTCGATGAAGTTGTTGAGCTGAGGGTTCCTGTATTCGCCCCCAAGCAGGCCACGTAGCGGGCCAAGCACGCCTTCATCCATCTCCTCAAGCAAGCGCTGCAGTCGTGCGTCGAGTGCATGACGCGTCTGCCACCACCGCCGCCGGCCCTCCGGCGTGCTGCCGTCCATTGCAATCGACGCCTTGTTGTCCTGAATGATGCCAGCCATGCGCACAACCATATCAGCAATAGCATCACCATCGCCATCGCTACCACGGGCAGTGGTACGGTTGTTCGTGCTCCTCGGTTGACGAGGCCGTTGGCATGTCGTTGCCGTCGCCACGAGGGGTTCAAAGCGCCGGCGCACGTGACCAAACTGTGTGACTTTCATGTCGGCTGACCCCTCGTTGCTGCCCATGATGTCACCTTCCACGACGCTCCGCAGCCCTTGTTCACACACGCGTCGCCTTGACGTTCGACGTGTTCTCATTCGCCTTCTGCTGCCGCTGCCGCTGCTGCTGCTGCTGTTGCGACGTACCCTCGTCTGCACTGTCTCTTCTGTGTCCTCTCCCACCTCCGCACACCCAGCGCACTCATTCCCCTCTTTCTCCTCGTCCTCGTCCTCCTCATCCTCCTCCTCCAGCTTGAACAGCTCCAGCTTTGGCGGTTTTCTTCGACGGCCCGCAGTGCCCATCACCGCGTCTGGTCCGCTCGCAATTCCGTCCTCCTCGCAGCTCATGGCGTCTTCATCGTCCTGGTGTCCCCATGCATCGCAGGTGTCGGCGACCACTGGCACTGAAATGCTCTCCACTTGGCCGTCACATCTCCGAACAACCCGTGACAGCAACAGCGTGCTTTCTTGAAGGCGCGACACCGTACACAGCGCCACGCCCACCGGCAAACTTGCCGCAATCTGCTTCACAGACGCATCTTGTCCGCACACATCTGCTACTGCTGCTGCTGCTTGAAAGTGCTTGCGTTTGTTGTTCGTCTGAGCGGAAGCCTGAACTCGCCAGGCAAAATGCTGATTCACCGCCTTCCACTGTTGCGCAATGACCTGCTCAAAACGTGTATGTGTGCGTGTGTGTGAGTGTATGTGTGTGTGTGTTTGCGTGCGAAGTGTTGATGTACAAGTGGCAGTAACAATTTTGGGGACGCTGAAAGAAGGTTGGCGTGGTGTCAACCGTGACAACGTGAAGAGCACACACACACACATACACACTCACACACACACACGCAAGCACGTGCACACACGTACATGCGCACGCACGCAAGCATGCGCACACACAGATACACACGCACCTCCTGCGCTGGGGGCGGCTCCGTGTTTGACTCTGCTTCGGGAGAAGGTGTCACGGTTACGAGAGGGTGGTTGGCGTGCTGCTGCAGCCAGTGCATTGTATCCTCCTTGCAGAGAGGGACTCGGCTGCTGCGCATGTGTTCTGCATAAGTCGTGTCCCGCTCCTCTTTCTCCAGCTCGAGTTGTGGGCGCTGCATCACATCATCGCTGCCATCAAGGCAGTCTTCGCAGGCTTCACCGTCATTGTCACTACACGCCTCGCTCCCCGTTCCTTCTTCTGCTCCTCCTCCGTTTTCTTCTCCTCCCTCCTCCTCTTGTACCTCTGCATCATCTGCGTTAGCATCTGCAACGGCAGAAGCAGCAGAAGCAGCAGCGGCGACGGCGGCGGCATCGACCTCCTCTGCTTCCGCCTCCAACAATCGCTCCACCAGCTCTGCTTTCAACCCCGACACCTTCAGTCCCTTTGACCTCAGCATCGGCTTCAGCTCCTTCACCAGCATCTTCGACAGCGCTTTGCGACGCACATCAGCGTCAAAGGCGGCCGCAGCTTCGCGTTTTCCCAGACTCTCATTGTCACAGCTCACACTGGCATCATCATTCGCGTCGTGCGGTGTGCACTTCTTGCCCGCCTTCCTCCGGCGCTGTGTCGCTTCGTTCGTCTTTGTCGTGTCGCGTCGCCCCTCCTTGCGTTCCGTGCGACGCTGGCCGCAATGTGGCTGTTGTCGACGCTGTTGCTGCTCTTGGATGGGTTGCACCTGCCCCTCATGCTGCCGCTGCTGCTGGTGGTTGCTGTCTGCAATGTTGAGCTTGTTCACCTCAGCGGTCATGGCGTCCACTGCATCGCCAGAGTCTGTGTCCTGGTGGGAGAGTGCGTTGTGCACGTTCACGCGTGCACGAGCCGCAAGCAGTCTCAGCCAAGATGGAAGAAGGTGTTGGTTGTGCGCGTCACATCCCGTGGGAGGCTGTCCATCACCACGAGAAGAGGTGGACAAGCAGTCGTGTGCCAAGCTGTTCCTTATGGCGCTGACACGTTGTTGCGTGTTCACAACGGCTGCCGCTGCTGTGGCAATGCAGCTGCACAGCGCAGCACCTGTCGCCTCCCCCATGCGTGTGAGCACCTCGGCCCGAGTGCACGCTGCCATGGAGGCGATGGGCTCCGGTGCGGATGAGGGCGGAGATGTTGGTGCAGTTGGTGAGACAGTCGCGTTGTCTTTGCTCGGTGCTGGAAGCGTGGGGCATTCGACGACGTGACGTGCTGGTGTGTCAAGTACCTCGCGTGCGCTGTCAACGCGCCCAGCCCACAGCAGCACGTCGGCCATGTGGGAGCGGGCAAGAGCGTCTACGCCGCTGCTGCTGAGACGGCCTGCTTGCGTTTGCAGGCGGCGAAAGCACGCTGTGGCATGACTGACCCAGCCCATGTGCTCGTAGCACCGCCCCAGCAGCAGCACCGCGCGCGTGTTAACCAGAGGGCCAAAAGCACACACTGTTCGCCACCGCGTCGCGTCCAGCGTGGCCTGCAAGGAGGTGCCCGCTTCCACGCGTGCGAGCAGCGAATGCAAGGCAACGTGCGGTGCGTCACTTTCAAGCTGCTGTACACACGCATCCAGCTCATCCTCAGCAGCGGTGAGCGCCTCAACAGCTGCATTGCGGGCGGTGTTTGCGACACCATGTGCTGTCGTCACATTGTCTTCACTGCGTTTGCTGCTCAAGCTGCTGCTGTGGTTGTGGTTGCTGGTGATGCCCAGTGTGGAACAGAGGGAGAGCCAGTGTCTGTGCAGCAGGGAGAACACGACAGCAGTCTCATCGTAGTCATCGTGACACCCCTCCTCCTTATCTTGCATCACGCACTGCAACTGGTTCAGCCACAGCCCCTGAATAGTGAAACGCACAAGCATGTCATGTAAGAACGGGTGCTCCATGAAAGCAGACACATAAGTGAGACATGTATTTTACATGTGTGTGTGTGTCGCGAGGAAGAGAGAAAGAGGCAGGGGGGAGAGAGGGTGCGTATGCGTTTGCACTTGTGAGCGTGTGGTCGTGTGCACTTGTGAGCGTGTGGTCGTGTGCACTTGTGAGCGTGTGGGCGTGCTTCACATGGGTGTACATACGGACACGTACATATGTGCATGTGCGTGTGCGTGTCTGCAGTTGACTGCAATCAATTCGCTGGCAAATCACAAACATGAGGGTGCGGACCATGTTTGTCGCGTCGTAGTTGCTGGCAAAGAGAAGGCACAGGGAGGCGCAAAGCTCTGGGGCCAGGCCAGACGAAGGCTTGGGCTCAAGACCGGTTGTCGGATCAGCAAAAAGCAGGGCCCGCGCAGCGCTGGTTGAGACAGTGACGCCTTGCGACGACGGTGACATTGCAGCAAGCAGAGTGTCCATATGCTTTAAGAGACTCTCAAACACCACATGGAGGGACGAGGACAGCAAGCTCTCCGCAATAGCCGTGGTCTTTGGCACACCCAACTGCAGCCTGCAACGCAATCGTTGGTGCACAAGTGTGCGTGTGCGTGTGTGTGTGTCAACGCAGCGGAGCAGATGAAAGAATAGGAATGAACAAGTACCAGCAGTACGTTGTGAATGGCGGGGGGGGGGTGTGTTGTGTGTGTGTGTGTGTTGGAGTACGTCAGTCGCAGAACAGTGGCACATGTGACGACAGCAGGAGGCACACAAACCCGCTCGATGTCACAAGCGCAAGACAGCTGCCACACCAACGCACCTGTAGTGGAAAATGTTCAGCACAACGTTGGTCAAGGTGTTCAAAGTGATGCTTGGGACTGCATCGTCGACACGACCGCCACGTGTTCCCTCGCTCGCGCCCAACGCGTGCTCGAGCACTACAAGCAGGAGGATGAATGCACCCCGGGACGCGCCAGCCTGTACAGTGACGGTGATGGACATGGTGGCGACGCAGGTGAAATGGAACGTGGGCGCAATGAGTGCAAGGTGGGTGGACTGGATCCAAGTGCAAGTGGATTGACAACAGACATGTGCAAACAAACCCAAGCTACAGCGCAGGCACACCCGCCGCAACGCACACACACACACACACAGAGTGGACCCCTGCACACGCACACACACACACACACACACACACACACATGTAGACCCACCCACCCACACACACATGTAGACCCGCCCACCCACACGCACGCGCACACACGCACGCACGCGCACACACACACACACATACACACACGCAAACATACGCAAGTAGACCAACACACGATACAGCAAAGCATCAGCAGCAACGCAGCCGAGCAAACATGTACGCATGCGTGTGTGCCGTCACGTGCACCTTTGGGTTGTGGTGCGCCAGTGTCTCGAGTAGAGCGGCAATGCTGGGACCGGGCTGTTGTTGATCATTCACACACGCGCATGCATTGAATGGGTTGAGCAAAACACTCAGCCGTTGACAACAAAAAGATGGCTTGTTACCGCGCGCACACCTCTCCCACACAGGTGCAACATTTCAACCTCCACCGCCAAAGTGCAAGCAGACACACGCACGTGCAAAATTGCACATGTATGTGTGCATCCTACCGCATCAGTGAGGAATTGCCTGAGCAGGTGAGGAAGAAGTGGTGCCGTTGGCTGTGGTGCGACCGTGGTGTCATCATGCGTTTGCCATGCGAGGCGAAACCGCTCCTGTTGGCAAGGCGCGTCTGATGTACCGGTGTCAATCGCTATGAGCGAGGTGTTTGCAGAAAGCACATGAGACCAGACTAGAGCCGCATCTTCGCATGCGCACAGTCGCGCCTGCTGGTCAGTTCGCCCCATGCACGCGAGCACAGCCTTGATCGCAGTGCCTTTTGCTTGGCCGTGCGTTCGACACGCCAGCTGCAGCCGCAGATATGCATGCGTGATGTGGTAGTGGTTGGTTTTGGGGGGGGGTGCGCAAGCAATCGGCGAGGGTGGTGGTGTACGGTGTAATCGGAGGTGAGCTGAGAGGAGCGCAATGGCGGCCAAGCACAAACTGCAATGCACACAAGCAGCACAGCGGTGATGGGTATAAGCACGACATGCGCTGTCTGCTCGCTGACTGCACACACACATACAAACACACAAACACACACACACACACACACCTTTGTCATGAGATCACGGCGTGCTGCCCTGTGCTTGATTGCAGAGGCGCTTGCCGGTGATTGGTGGGTGCACACAGCAGCGGAGTACGAGAGCACCGCACACAACAGAGGAAGTTCGTGGCGCTGCTGCTGCTGTTGGCGCTGCCGACGATGGCGCGATCGGTAGAGCTCAAGGGCAGTGTTGTACGCGAGTGTGTCGAACATGGACAGCAGCGTGCTCACATTATCCTGCAGCATGAACACGATTTGGACGAATGTGAGTGAGCGCATCGTGTACAAGTACAAGGGAAAACAAAGCGGGAAGGCATACACGCGCGCTTTCTCACACGAGCAAACCACACTCACACACACACACTCACTCACACACACACACGTGTGAATCGTGTATGAGCCAACCTCTGCCAAGCATGAGCGGTTGTCTGTGGTGATGCAGAGGTGCATGCAGGCAATGCCTCGAGAAAGGCTTTCACCGGCGGCGCCATCGCCTCCGTCTTCTGCGGCGCGTGCACGAAAAACTTTGGCGTGAGCGATTGCACCAGCATCGAAATGTTCACAACCACACACGCGCGCGCAACCGCGCGAATGCAAGCCGCACGCGTTCCACGCAACACATCATGGCATTGGGCCACATTGGTGACCGCAAACACGTTGGGAAGTGAAAATCGCACCTGCAGCAGTAACGATGGGCCAAGTTGCTCGGACAAACCCACAGAGAGCCTGAATCCGTGTTTAGTACGGTGTGGTGTTGGTGTGGATGGCACATTAGTGGTAAGGCGGGCGGTTTGGCGGCTGCTCATGAACAGAACGCAACGTTTCGGCTCGACACAGTGCTGCATTGTTGCAAGAAATGCCGGGCCAATTTAGACACGACACAATGCGCACACTTGCACGCACGTGTACGCAAACATCTGGCAAACAGCACACAAACCAAGCGCACATCACTCGAACGCACACTCACAAGCACACACACACACACAAACACACACACACAAGCACACACACACACACAAGCACACACACAAGCACACACACACAGAGGAATGAGACAACACCATGTCCAACCTGGCACAGCCACGCGGTGGTTTTCGTATCAGCAGCGTCGCACAAGTGTTGAGAGAGCTGGTTCACTGCCGTGGCAAGACGGCACCACACAGGCGCGTCTGTGCCGCTTCGCTCCTTGCTCTGCAACACACGGCCTGTACGTAGTCATGGACCGAGTGCAGTGCACATCACGCATTTCAAGGTCATGGCGTTAGGTGGTGGACTCACTATCACTACATGTTTCGTGGCAGTTCCAGCGCGCGTGTGTATGCACAACCTGGTGCCTCACGGCAAACCAACACTGCGACAGCAACCCCCCCCCCCACACACACACAGCTACAAACACACACACACACACACACACACACACACACACACACAGACACAAATTCCCACACACATACACGCCCCTCACCATATGCGAGGGCCAGGGCCTTGGAAGTGCCTGTGATGACATCCGAGAGAAGAGCGGTGGACAGGTCGTGCTGAGGGCCGAAGGCTTCGAGTGCGGTGGCGATAGTAGTGGCCGTATCGAGAATTGCTTGTGTTGGCGCGGGACTGCTGGAGACGGACTGCACCAACAAGTCAATGTCACACAAGAGCTGCTCCAGACTACTTTCGGGGGCCGTTGCTGCCACAGTTTTGCTGCCATCCTGTCCATTATCTGCGCCACTGTGTTGGTGTTCTTGTGCGTGAGAGAAAATGCGCTGCCCCTGATCCTCATCGACAACGTTCTCGGCGCGTTCGCTGTGCCTGGAAATGTGGGCGTGCTGGGCTTGCATGGCTTGTGCTGCCTCCTCGGCGATGGATTCACGCCCGGCGTGCGTCAGAAGCGCGAGACACATCCGCTCAAGAACACCGCACGCACCAGCAAACAGGGTGGCTGTGGGGGCGCTTGCCATTGCCGGTTGCCATCATCTTCCTCGGTGCCGGTTGCTGGCGGCGTGCAGCATGCACATGCCGTGCACCTCAGTTACCGACGTAAAGGAGCGACAAATTCACACACGCAGCTACAAATTCCCACACACATACACGCCCCTCACCATATGCGAGGGCCAGGGCCTTGGAAGTGCCTGTGATGACATCCGAGAGAAGAGCGGTGGACAGGTCGTGCTGAGGGCCGAAGGCTTCGAGTGCGGTGGCGATAGTAGTGGCCGTATCGAGAATTGCTTGTGTTGGCGCGGGACTGCTGGAGACGGACTGCACCAACAAGTCAATGTCACACAAGAGCTGCTCCAGACTACTTTCGGGGGCCGTTGCTGCCACAGTTTTGCTGCCATCCTGTCCATTATCTGCGCCACTGTGTTGGTGTTCTTGTGCGTGAGAGAAAATGCGCTGCCCCTGATCCTCATCGACAACGTTCTCGGCGCGTTCGCTGTGCCTGGAAATGTGGGCGTGCTGGGCTTGCATGGCTTGTGCTGCCTCCTCGGCGATGGATTCACGCCCGGCGTGCGTCAGAAGCGCGAGACACATCCGCTCAAGAACACCGCACGCACCAGCAAACAGGGTGGCTGTGGGGCGCTTGCCATTGCCGTTGCCATCATCTTCCTCGGTGCCGTTGCTGGCGGCGTGCAGCATGCACATGCCGTGCAAGAAGAGCAGCGCTTCTGCAAGGGACTGGGCAGTGGCGTCCAATGCATCCTGCTCACGAGCCCTGCGCAGTGCTGCGTCGAGGAAGGATCGAAGTTCCTTCGCCCACGTGCGCAAGGTGCCGCTCACGTCCTTGTTCTTGCTGTTCTGGCTGTGTTTGGGGTCTGCAGCAAGCTGTACGTGTGCGTGCAGTTTGAACAAGGCGTGATGCGCCGCCAGCTGTGTGATGGCTGCGGTCGGCGCCAAACACTTGCGTGGTGGGCGGTGGAACAGCGTGCTCATGGCTTGCTTCAACACATTGCACATCAGCCCTGCATACTCTGTCACAAACGCGGTTGCAGCTTGAGCTGATGCGACCTTGTTCTCGTCGTTGTCACTGCTGTCGTTGTCATCGCTGCTGTTGCTGCTGCTCGCTGCAAACCAGTGTGGGATGGCTGCCGCGTCGATTTCAAGGAGAAGGGCTGTTGCGTCAGTGCCGTGGTGTGCCGCGGAGACAGCCAAGACCAGGTCGCGCATAGCGTCTGGGAGGAGATGGAGCATGTGCCCGGCGGTGGCAAACACCTGCACGCGGCGAACAAGGGCTTGCTGAAGCGCGGATGTGAGCTTGGCTTTTGCAGCGCCCAGGTTACCAGTGTCTGCGTTTGTGTCGTTGTGCGATGGCGCTTCAAGTCCTGACAGGCCCTCGCAAGTGGTTCTGGCCAACGTCAGCATGTCAACGCAGCTGTCGCAGGTTACGAGGAGATGCGATGGCTTTCCTCGTGCCAGCCAGGCCGAGGTCAGCGTTGCGCAAACGTCGTTGAACTTGAGTGCGTGGTTGGCGAGCTCTCTCGCCCTTGCATTGGTGTGTCGATGCTCGCGCCCGAATTGCCTCTCCAGCGCCTGCTTCCACAAGCACACAACATCAAACGCATCGTCAGATTGCTGTAGCGCTAACCCTGCTTCATCGTCGCCGGCTTGCTGCTGCTGCTGCTGCTGCTGTTGCTGCTGTTGCTGTTGTTGAACGGCCTTGGCGGCAGAAACTGCATCCCGTCTGTAAGCGAACAGCATGCGGTCCACAGCGGCGCCGCCGCCACCGCGCTCCATTGATGTGTGTGTGTGTGTGTGTGTGTGTGTGTGTGTGTGTGTGTGTGTGTGTGTGTGTGTGTGTGTGTGTGTGTGTGTGTGTGTGTGTGTGTGTGTGTGCGTTGGTGGTCGTTGTCGTTGTCGTTTCTCGTTTTTGAACTTTTCCCGGCGTTTCTGGAAGAATAGCGAAATCTTCAATTAGTTTTCATTATCCACAACATGGCAGTTTGTGCTGTCGCATGAACGATGGTGGACCACGACAACGACGCCGACGAGACCGTGCTTGATGATGAGAGCAGGCTGCGAGAGAACGACCACAGCGCCACGGTGGAGGGTGCCAGCAGCGCTGGCACAGTAGGACCTAGCACATGTAACAGTAAAAAAGAGATGATGATGAGTGGTAGCGGAGCACAGGGAAAAGCAAGACGGAATGAATTAACTGACTGTAGTTATGATGTCGGGGAGAGACAAGCAGCGCGTTCGACTGGCCCGCGTGGTCATCGTACCAAGAAGAAGCGCAGTAGCGTCTCAGCGAAGAAAGGAGCACATAAACATGACGGCGATGCGAGTGGTGCGGACTCAAAGGCGCGTGCACACGGACGTCATCGTCATCGACGAAACCAAAAAGCACAGCAACAACAGCAACCTGATGCAGCGGATGAGGCACACGACAGAAAGTGCCCTTTCCCACCAGACAGCACGACGGGCCATTTTTCGTGTCCACACGAAGGCTGCGGCCGCACTTTTACACTGGTGAGGGTGACGATGCTTGTGTGTACATGTGTGGGCGCGCGTGCCCCCCGCCCGTGGGGGGGGGGGG